GTTATAATATAAATAACTGCTGAAGCAATTGATATAGGGCTCCGCCTGCACAGTCACAGAATTGGTTAGCAAACACCAACATAAGGAACTTTAAACCTAAAAAAGAAAAAAACAAGGGAAGATAAATAAGTCTCATTAGCATCAAAAGAAAAGTAATGATTTTAATATATCAATATGAATTGAAGACTTTGAAAGATCATTATAGACAAAGTTGCAAGGAACACATCAACAGCATGCATATGCCTGGTTTCAGATTCAAAAAGGGTAGAATTTCCATGAACAGGTGGCTAACTTCATCTCTTTTCCTTCAATACCCACCCAAAAAACCATTTGATGGGGGGAGAGACAGCAGCAAAGACACAGAACGCAGCCATGAACTGGGGAAGATGAAAAAGTAAAGCAAAGGGTGCATCCACAGGGATTGAATGGTCTAAAAGAATGTCCATGGTTGTCTATAAAATAAAACCACAACATCTTCCAAATGAACCCCATCAATATCCACTCTTCACATTTACAAAACCAAAAGGTTCCATTTCTCAAACTAAACTTAGCAATGCCAATCTCTTTCACAAAATGTCATGCGGTACACCAAGGCATAAAAGCACAAGATTCAAGGACTATATATTAATTAAAATGGAAATACTATAGGCAAAAATAACTATAAGTACCTTATATCAAACTCCTCTGACTTTTGAACTGCTTCTTGGGCAGCTTTAATTGCTTGATTATTCATACCAAGATTGGAACAAAAGCGTCTCTGTTGATTAAGATGAAAAAATCAACCACAGTAGTCATAAATACCATATCAAATAATAGAAATGAGTCATGACCTTTCAAGCATACAACAAGACTAAGAAAATAGTCCATATCATCAGCAGATTAATTTGGAATGTAACAAAATGACAGAATAACATGAGCAAAAATAAAAGAAACCCACCATGAAGTCACCAGCATGTATAGTCCCCATCTCTACAGATTGACCAGTCTCTAATCCCAATTGTTTAACTATGTATTCTTTTGCTCGGCCAATTTCTTTCTTGGTTGCCCCATTGGCAACAGAGCAAATTTCTATTTAAAATCCACAAGTTCAAGCAGCTCATATACAAAGCAAATGATAAATCAGGAAGTATCAGGATGTTAAAATGATCTTAGGCTGTACCCTTAACAGTGCGAGGTTTGTCCTCTTGTCTGCAGGCAATGTAAAGGCAGGCAGCCAACAAAGCATCCTGATTTCTTCCTCTACTAGACTTTTGATCTTCCACCTTCTTGTATATCTCATTGGCCCGGTCCTTTAAATCAATGAAAGGCAGCATTTAATGAAATGCATATTGAA